ATTTAATACCTTTCTTACTATCACATAAGAAGGAGTTAGAAGCAAGGAAAGGAAAGAAAAAAATCAGCTTAGAGTAGGGAAAGAACAGGTTAGAGATTACTTAGAAAAGCTGGTTGATTTTAAGTCAGCAAAACTGGATGAGATTTGTCTTAGGGTACTTAAAGAATTGGCTGAGGTAATTGCAGAAAAACTGACTATTATTCTTTGAGAATTCATGGAGATCTGGAGAAGTACAGACAGTTGGAAAAGGGCAAATATAGTAGTGCTCCTCTTTGAGGATCCAGGGCATTACAGATGAGTCAGTCAAATCTCAATACCTGGAATAATCCTGGACAATACAATATTTTTCTAAGCACCTGGAGGATAACAAAGTAGTGATCAAGAAGAGCCAACATAGACAAGTCAAGAGCAAATCATCCTTGCTTTTGACAAACCTAATTTTCTCCTACAGTAAAGTGATGGGCTTTGTAGATAAAGGAGAGGAATGGATTTGATATATCCTGACTTTAGCAAGGTTTTTGACAAAAGTGTTTGTGATTTTTATTACAAACCTAAGAAAACAGAGTCCAGGCAAAACTAATGCAAGCATGCTCAGAGTAGTCATTAATTTCTGGAAAGAGGTATCAAGTGGGATTTCCTAGAGATCTTTCCTGGGTCCAGTACTGTTTAATTGTTTCATTAATAACTTGGAGGAAGAACACATGCATCCTCAGTACTGAATTTAGGATGGAAAAATGAAAATCACAAATACAAATATGGAATGACTGACTAACTTACTGTTCTGCTGAAAAGGACATAGGAGTTGTACTACATAGAAAGTTGAGTATGAATCAATAGTTTGCTATTGTTACATAAAAAACTAATAGCTGTGGGGATTAATTAACAGGAACGTTGTATGCAAGTCACAAGAAGTGATTAATTCACTCTGTTCAACACTGGTGAGCCCTCATCTGGACAACTGAGTCAAATTTTGGGCACTATCTCAAGAAATACATAGAAAAATTAGAAAGAGGTCAGAAGAGAGAAAAATATTATTGGAGGTCTAGAAAACATGACTTACAAAGAAAGGTTGGAAGAACTGGGATTATTTAGCATGAAGAAGGGAAAACTGATTGCATAACGAACTTCATATACATTAAGGATTGTCATAAATATGATGGTGATACACAAGGGACACAAAAAGGGCCCTGGCAGACGTTACATACATCACCCAAGTAACGTGTTAATTAGGTGATACATTGCAACATGACATACATTCAAGTAATTTATCACCCAATAAAAAGGCCAACAAGCTCCAAAATTGGCAGACAAGCCTCAAAGATGTTACTTGCTAAATGTAAAACATCTTTGTAGCTAATTTATAGTGGTCTTTAATTTGAATATGTGACATATTCCAAGAAGTAAATAGGAACAAAGAAAATTTAGGTTGCATATATAGGACTATGAAAATGGTTAAGCAATGGGACAGACTGCATAGAAAGCTGAATTTTTTTAAGTACAGGTTTGAAAACAGTTGGCAGAAAGGATTTAAACATGGATGATCCTATGTTAAGCAGGATCTTGGCTAGTTGACTTCTTGAGGTCACTTCAAGTCTATTCTTCTATGAGTGTATCCTGGATACAATCACACTCTCTTTTGATAGTTTTTCACACAATATTTTATTGGAACTACAGGAAAAAGGAGACATTTTTTTCTATTGAAAAGAGTTATGATTATTGCGTGGAAAGGACCCTCTAATAATGAAAATTACTGCAAAATAACAAAATTTTTATTTGTATCATTAACATTTAATATAAGTTAACATTCTTTTTGTTGCTTCCACTTTATTCATTTGAAGTTTCTAATTCAAGAAGGTAAATACAAGAAATACGGTGATCAATTACTTTATTTGAATGAAGTATTTTGTTTAAATGAACAAATATTTCTTCCCTCAATATAAAGTGAATGAATCAAATCATTATCTGTTTTCCAGTGATTCAGGCTCTTAACTGTCCGTAAAAATGTATTTGATTTAATTTATAAGCAATAGCTTGAAATATGAGGATAAGCCTACAATAGAGCTGCTTTCTTTAGGAATTCCAGACTATCTTCTGACAGAACAAAATATGAGTTCAAAAGAAAGCTGTATAATTGATGTGAAACAGAAGTAATCTAGATGAATGCACAGCAAATGACCAAAGTACTTCAGTCTGTGATTGCTTTTGTAAAATGTAGTTAACAAATATTGGTCTTTTCCACAACTATATGCAAAGACAAATAGCAGACACCATTTTTCAAGAGAATCACTTTACAGAGATATTTTTACTTAAAAATACTTGAATGTATTGTTTCCATATATACATTTTCATTAAAAAAGAAGCAATCCAATATTTTACACTTAATACATTTCTGTAATTTAGAATGTTAACATTTTTATTGCATCACATCACAAAAACTGTTTAAATAGACCTATAAAATATTAATATATGAAGCATATGGCAACACTGTCACAAAACTGGATTCAGTACTTGAAACATCTCTATAATATCCAGGTTTATAAACCTGAGGGCTTGACAAAGGGCAGTTGATGCCTGAAAGCTTTCCCAGCAATTCTCCCAACTATGCTGTTGGATCCAGTGAAAAATATCACAAAAAACAAACTCCAACTTAGCTACTATACCACTCCAACTTTACTACATAAAATTAAATTCACTTTGACCCCCCCACAAATGCTCTGCCTTTTGGTACTTTGAAGGGAAAATTGTGCAAAAAAGGAAATACTGCCTTCAACTTGTAGTTTTTGGAAAAGTCTAATAAGAGGTTTGACATTCACTAAAATTGTTCTTTTCCAGCTGTAAATAAGCCTACAAGACAATCTATGGCATGCCAAAATTTTCTTTCATGATGTGATGATCAAAACTCTCTATATAAGGACTTAACTCTTGAAATGTAGATAGTCAAACATAATACGTTTGAAGAAAGAATGGGAAACAGAAATGGATCCTTTAAATCGTTAGAATCTTTGTGTTACAACTTTAGAGAATTCTGATATGGAAAGCTGTTATGAAAGTTTATTTTTATTTCAAAATGACATGAAGTACATTTCTGCTCTGAAAAGTGGCTTTGCAAAAACAACAGTATGATATTCCATATTTATTGTCACCCAGGGCCTGGTTGGGAAGTAGGCTGAACTGTACTGGGGAAAGTGAGCAACTTATGCTCACTCATTAGGTCAAACAATTCAGAATGTCTCCTGGAGCAGTGTGCCCATTGCCCACCCTTTTATTGAGTTCATCTTTCTTCTTCCTAGCTCTGTTCACTAATGTATCAGAGAAGCAGAGCAATAAACATGTATTTCCTTACTCTCCCCTAGGAAGAAGCAGTCTCTGAATTCTTCTCTACCGGGATTTCGACTGCATCTAATCCTACTTGAGCAATACAAGATGGAAGAGGGGAAAGCTGTTTGCACTCTCCTCCCAAGTATACAGACAGGTAGAGGCTAGATAGAATTTGTCCTGAATGGTTCCACAGTTCTTTCTGGGACATGTTCTGACTTAATTTTCACCATATAAAATCTCAATTAAATCCACGTGACTCCATGGGGTTTGTGGAAGGTGGAATATAATATTGGTCTACTATTAATAAACACAGGTTCCAATTCAGGATAGAAATTAAACATATAGGACAGGTTGAAATTCCAATGTAGTTAAGGGGAAAGTGTTTTCCTGAACAAGGACAACAGTTTTTCTACCTGCTGGCTTTATACATTTGGGATATAGTGTCATATTAGGCTCTTTATACTTCATGCATCTTAAAAAGTAAAAGCAACTCAGCATTCTAAATTCTGAAGTTTGCACACGTGGGAGTGAAGGCAGAAATTGGTTCTTGATTCGAAAGGTAATTAACATTTTTTGTCATTGATGTGTGAGCTCACTTTATCATACTAGTTGCTCTCATGGGCTGAGAAATGATTTTTCATTTTACGCTCATACCAACACCTTTCATTGCAGGGATAATAATAATAAGAAAAATCTTTTGTCTTGTTTTGGTTTGGTTTGGTTTGGTTTTTAACCAAAGGCAGCCGATACAAATCTGAATACATAGAAGGAGAAATAAAGTACTTTTCACTGTTCAAAGTATAACTGCACTTTGAGCTTAGAAAGAGGCAGTTTAGTAGACTGGTAGAACTTTCTAGCAGTTCTAAATATGTAAGAAAAAAATTGATCTCCCACCTCCTTTCTTTTTGGTGGACCAAAACTGGAACTTGCTTACATGGGTATTGAAAGGGCAAGAGCAATGGAAATATTGCTTACAGACTAAACCTGTGCCAAAGCTGTGGAGGCCCTAAAATCTACCATCATGTGGGCTGAGGCTGAGATGCTTGTAATGATTCCCAGCACAGTAATATAGATACTGGGAGAATGAAGAGAAGACAGGAAAGTAGCTAGTCAGATAACAGACCTATAACTCTACGTACACGTTGGAGAAGGCAACAATCTATGTCTATACCTGTCCCTATTGCTAAGGATAGCTAGAGGAAGTCTGCTATGTGGGTGATCTGACATCTAACTGTGAGGGGAGGATTTTATCTCCTCCAAGGGTTTACATGAGCACAGACTTATTATTTGATTTTTTCTGGAGTATTCAGAATTTTGCTTTGCATGTTTATGAACTTCAGGGATAAGTAAAACCAGTACTTTTTAGTAGAGCAACCTGAACACACTCTTATGTTTGTTACTTTGGCCAGTCATTAGAGAGGTTCTTGGAAGTGGCTACCAGCAAGAGCAAAACCCAACAATGTTGTAAGTGTTACTGTACTGTAATCTTACGTATCAGGAGCCTAATTCTCTAATGCATCCTCTGCGGGTTTTTTTGGTGATGGAAGAATGGATGTCCATGAAATTAGTTTGCCAGAAAACTGGAATAAGAGAGTAATTAAGTCTGAGATGTAAAGTTACTAAGCCCATAGTCAGTCAAAAACATTTGCCAAAAAAACCCGTAATGACCAAGAGAAACTTACCTTTAAAATTTGGTCTGATTCTTGCATCATACCCTGAAGTCCTTCCCATCAATTTGTCCAAAAAATCTGAAGGAGACAGGGTCTGTGAGGGGGATTTTCCAGATCTTGAATCATGTTCTTTACAGAAAGCCGCCCTAAATAAATTATTAGCCACCATTAGCGACTATTCACCTTGTACTGCCTTTCATTTTATGGGGAAATTAAGCTCTTTCTTTGAAAGTAAAATCCTCATCAACACATTGACTGAATTAGTGAATATTTCAGTAAGAAAATATATTTTCATTTTCATTAGACAACTTTATTTTAGAAGTAAATGCAAGTTTCAAGAAAAGAAAAATATTAATGAAATACAATTTGCTATTCAGAAAACTTAACTACAGAAAGAAGATTGTTAAATCATTTCTCAGAGATATACTTAAGATGCTCTTTATCTGCCATATCATTCCATAAAGAATTCCCATAAGGCTTTTGATACCCCAAGTTAATGTTATTGTCCGAGTTACATGTATAGTATGGAAACTATTTCTACTTCAAGTTTGCTTAAAAGTAGCTTCTAACTTCCAGCAACAACAGGAAAAATGCATCATGTGACAATGAAAAATGTTGACTTTGTAGTCTGAAGTAAAACATAAGCATAGCAGTATACCTTACTAATAATACCTGAAGGAATTTCAATAGTTTTGGATCTGATTCTTCCCAAATGCGTGCTTATTTTCCCTGGAAAGGGTTTAAGGAGCAGTCACATTGGATTTTAATCTTTTATGAACCCACCACAGGCAATGTAAATGGTCATTTCTCCTCATCATTACCATTAATTGGTCTTTCTATCCAAGCATTTTAAATAAGTCTGTATTTTCAGGTTTTAATGGTAAATTAACTATACCATTATACATTTGTAGCTTTGTGTATATAGCATATTAGATATCTCAGAGAAAGGGAATCTCAGATGGTTGATCCCAAGAGAAAAGAAATCTGGAGACACTTGATATGAATATATTTTTTCTGTAGGGAATTGAATTCTGTCATAAAACAATATTCTGTTGGTTCTTAAACTACCTGTTTTATTGGCTGTATATTTTAGTAGTCTCTTAGAAGTATCTAAAATAATCATATTGGTGTTTCTTTTATAGTATTGATGTATTCACATATGTGCCCAAAAGGCATCATTCACTTTTAATAGTATTTCACGTTATTGTTTTATTATTAATGTGTGTATATATGTGCACACGTGTCTCTGTGTATCTATCTGTAGAAATATAGTTAGATGCACACACAGGTTATCTGAAATTTGAAGCAGATAATATAGCTAGTTTTTCCTCACTAAAACGGAAGTATTATTGAATCGAGTATGTTATTTTCAGCACTTGTGATATTACTTCTATATTTTGTAGGTCCCATTTTGACAACTACCTGCTACTGCTTTGATATCTAGCTTTTAAACAAAAATGGAAGAATATTTATTCAAACTTTATTTGAATAAGTATAACATATTAAAAATGGAAAGTTATTTATAACACTTAGTTTGAATAAGCTTACAAAATTACTTATGTTTTCACTTAAAACCACCAGTTGTGAGTTATATTTGTTGACACCTGAAACTTGTGAATAAAAATTTTTTTCACTTTGTTGCTCTATATCCTCTCTCTCACATACACAAACTTTACATTGGGTAGACATACAAATACCATAAAATACAGTATAGTCATGAATTGAGTAATTATTTTAAGTGATAACCCTGCAACATTTTTTTTATTGGAAAAGAGGTCAATGGTTAAATTCAAAGAAGATAAAATTCCTGTATACTGCCACTCAAAATGTATAGTCTTGTCCAAGGTTTTCCCAGAAGCAAAGAGGAAACACAAATAACCATCTCCCTGACAAAACTGGTTTAATCATTCCTATAGCTTGGGGAGAAACCAAACCAACCTACTAAATAACTTCCAGTGCATGTGGAGATATTAAACTGCATTCCAAAGGAAACAAATGACACTCAGCTCTTTAGCTTATATTAATTTTTCAGTGAAAAAAAAATGTGTCTTTAAACTAGAGAAGTAGAAAACATATTGCCCAAACTTGATTTTTTTTGTGTTTGTTACCAAGCAACGGGGCTCTTCAAGTGTAAAAGATATAGCTCACATTAAACAAATGTGAAATGTTCTCAGATGGAGCAAATTAATTAGGTTATTGTGACACAGTTTCCTTATGTTTTCCATGCCTTTTGGTAAATATCAGCAGATAGAATCATTTCACCTACCTGAAGTGGTTTGCCTCAAAGAAAAATGCAAACAAGGCTGTCAAAATATTCACTAGCTGCCGGTTCATTCCTCCTGTTTTCTGTGATGATTTATGGAAAATATCCCAGAAATGATTCCAGAGAGAAGCAGGAAAAGAAAAGTATCTCGATGCTGCCTAGATTCCCAAATACAGCAATAATTTATGTGCCTTGAAAATAGGAAAGAGAAGATCTGGATTTTTACAAATTGGGGGGAAAAATTCAGAAGTGCCAGTCCTCGGAATCATGGTCAGGTTAGACCCAGATTCATCCCCAGCAGTCAGCAGAAATGAGAGTAAGCATCAGATCCGGTCCTTCCCGGGCTGTTTTAACTGAATGCTCAAAAAGAAAAAAAAGGGGGGAAAAAGAGAGAGAGAAAGGAATAGAAGAAGAGGGGTAAAAAAAGAGCCAAGAAACCCTGCTATCTTAAGAGCATCCTGCAAAAGGGAAAGAAGCTGCCACGCTGGAGGACTCTCTGCTGTGGGTACTGTTTTATTTCCCTTTTGCTTTGGAAAAATCAGTGTCTCTTGAGTCGTTGTGGGATTGTTGGGGGCTTTTTTTTAATCTATTTTCTCTCTTTGCATTTGGCAGTGAGCTATAAATATTGCTGGGGAATGATTGCTGTTGGCTGGAGAAAAAGCTGAGCTCCTGTGCCGGAATGAGAGAGAGGGGGAGATAAGGGAGAGACGTGATCTTACCCCTGACTATAAATTTCAGCACTTGGACAGCTCCGAGCGTCGCTTGTGCGCATGCCTCTTTCTCCGGCCGGGGGGAGGGGGGTATGTGCGAGTGTGTGTGTGTAAGGAGAGGGGTGGGGGGCTCGGCCACAGGACTTGCCTCGAGGCTTGATCTCCTCCCTTCAAAGCGAGCGCCTCTTCTCCTGCCCCAGCCCCTCCCTGCCTGTGGGAATGGGTCGGCTTGCTAGAACAGGGTATCCAGCATCTGGCATCGGATTCCAACAGCTGGCGCAGCTGGCCAGAGAAGGGAGGAGGCTGATGGGCGACGGTGTTAAACTGTCGGCATGAGAGAGGCAATGGGGAGCACGCACAAAGTCGGGACGGGAGGGGGGTCTGAAAGGGTGGGAAATCCTGTGGACTATTCCCAAAGGAGGAGGGTGCCAGAGCCAGGAAGGGGAGGGAGCCAGCTTCTCCCACGTGTTGCCTCGAGAGAGGGGAAGAAGACCTCCCCCCACCCCCTTCTGCAGCCCCATGGAGGCAGCAAGAAAAAGGCTCCCCTGAGGAGAGGAGGTAGCCCACAGCTCGTCCCTGTGGAGAAGCAGCAGGAAGAAGTGGTCTCCAGTGCTCAGTGCCTCTCAGGTCACTGGAGAGTAAGTGGTCACCTCCTGCTGGGGTGTTTGGCAGATGTGGCACTCAGATTTCCAGTCCCTGTTTGGCACCCAACCATGCTAGGAGTTACAAAGACCCTGGGCTAGGGATAAGGAAGGAAGAGCTCCCTTTGCTGGTGACCCTGAGGCAGAAGGGTAAAAAACACCCCCCTTTCCTGCAAGACAGAGCCTGGATGGAGAACAGAGCCTTCACCTAGAACCAGGGGGAAGACAAGGAAATGTGTCCTCTCCTAACCCTAGTAGGGCAGGAGAGGAGACAGAACAGCTGTGTCCCCATCCTCCCACTCTTCCTTTGTGGTAGTTCTTTGGGTGGCAGGGGCAAAGTGTATGGCTTAGGGGCAAGGGCATAAGGGTTATGAGACCCTTCCTTGTCCATTACATTATAACGATGAGGATACCTCATGTGGAGAAAGAGGATAGTGCCTCTCAGACCGCTGGACAGTAAGTGCAAGGAGTGACACCCAATCTAATCCTTGTGGAGATAGAGGTAGATGAAGTGTTTCCCTCCTCCACAGCCAACCCCCCCACCCCCTTCTCTGTTTTCATACGACAGGAAAGAAAGAGCTCTTATTTGGAGCTTTTCATCACAAAGCTCAAAGTGCTGTAGACAAGAGTTGCCTCTTATTCAACCCCCATCCCTTCATTTTATGCCTGAGAAAAGTGAGTCAGAAGAAGTAACAGTGAAAGATCCAGGAACATAACATAAATCTGGTGACTCCCAGTCCAGTGTTTATTTGTATTGTTTCACATTTAAAATCTGCACATTTTAAACCAGAGTGAGATCTGGTGTCACTGAGACCTCTGTTCAAGAAAGGGGTTTCACATCAGCTGGTGCCTCTGATTCTAGTTACCAATTGAGAGCTTGCCCTACACTTTGAGGTACACTGAAAGCATAAAAGAGACCTACCACTGCCCCACAGAAAAGGCAGTTGGGGGTCCCCCTTGTGTGCAGTAATATCCAAGCAACATAAAACAGCCCACATTCTCTCACTAGAGCTAGCTAAAATCCCCATCCCATTTTGGGCAATCCTTGCTGTTGTGTTGACTTGCTGGAGAATGCAACAAAGTGGCATGAGTCAGAGCAGTAACAAGAGGATGTTAACAGATCCCAAGATGAGAGAGGCAGAAAGGAAGGATAAGATATCCCTTATTAGATGTGCTGAACAGAGTCCTGGCACATCTAAGGCCAGAGCTCATGTTTTCATACAGTCCCTTTTTTGGTAAATAATGAATTTCTTGGAATCTGCTCCCTTTTTTAGTAACCTTAAAGTCAATTCTTGTAGAAATAAAAGGCATCTCCACCCACTCTAACACTTCTCAAATAAACAAGTTACTTTTCCTACCTGTTTTCTGTCCTGTCCAGCTGTATCCTCCTCCTCATCTATGGAATCAATCCGCCTGAACATTATTTTACTCCCCTAAACATATTGCCACAAAACACATGCTTTTTAAACACCACATATAATGATATTTCTCATTCCCTTTGATGTGATAAAACCCACTGTTTGTGACACACAGTTTTTCTCATATTTATAGCCATTTTTCAGACTTGAAGAGTTGTTTCTGTGTTCCCCAGTTAGTCAGAGATCCAGGCTACATCGTTCATTAAATTAAAAGCAATTGTTTTTATTTAGTTAAGTACCATTTATTGATAAAAGTACGACTTAGTGGCTATGCTCAGAAGCTAACAGCCATTGATTTTCTGCTCCTTTAAGATAGTACACAGCATCACACAAGAAAAAAAAATACACTAACATGTTTCAAAGACCAAAACAAAACAAAAAAAGAAATAAAAACATGCAAATATAGGCCTACCATGATTTTCTTGCTCCTTTCTCTACCAAGACAACATGAGCAACAGTTTGGGAAGCTCAGCAGACAATATGCATGTAATAATCACTTCCACAAATGTTTAACAACAGACACCAGAAATATGCCAGATCACCATACTGTGATATCCAATAATGTTGTAGGTAGATAGTTTCTTTGGTTAAGATGCTATTAAGTGGGATAATTACTATTTCTGGTCATTTGGTATCTCATTCAGAAAAATGCAGCCAGAGAGAAATGACTTTTGGAAATATCAGAAAAAACTGGAGTTCTTCTTCCCTCAGATAAAGGCATAGGTTTAACCTTTATCCCTAGGTAGCATTGCTGTTACTGCTATATAAATTATTTCAGAAAGTTTGGACTGATGGAAAAAATGTGGAACCAGTAATTTACTAACTAAAGGAAATACCCATTATGTCTCTTTAACCTACACTGCCATCTGCTTAAAAACATGAGGAATCTCAGGAATGTTCATAGACTTCTCACTGCAGAAATCACTGAATACAGTTAGTATCTCTTTGCCAATGGCATTGAAATGTTTTTTGTTATATGACTGTTGCTTTTAGGAACAGAAAATCTATGACTACACATTTGAGTTGTGGCAACTGAAACTCTAAGTAGAAAAAAGTTAAAATAACTATATAACTTCTATAAGTGTTTTAACATGTGAAGCCTCACTAGGAAACACTTTTTTCAAGATTTGTCTTTTAACTGGTGTTTCTATGCCTCTCTGTTGTTTGAAATGTTAGGCCACAGCAGGACTTGGAGAAACCAAAACCCTGCTACATTCCTAAAAATTTTTCAAATACAAATAGTTTATGTAAAAATACCATGAGAAGCATAATAACAACAGGTCTAATTCCAAATTTTTACTAAGGTTTGTATTCAGTCCTTAAACACTCAATGCCCACTTATGTCAATAACAGTTTTCTTTATTAAGGACAGAAGAAACTAAAGAACTAACTGAAAACTGAGTAAATGCTTTAAAATATCAGACTAAACATAGCAAAAACAACAACATAATGACAACAACAATAAAAGCAGTAGTATTTTTCACTGTTACAATTGTATTATTTTCTTTGAGAAATTCAACACAAGTCTCTAATCCTAAGGCACTTATACATGAGTGCAGAGGATGCTGCGACACACTGGAATTCCAGTGTGTCAGAGCAGGCTCGACTAATCAAGTTTGCTGGAGCATGGCAATTACTATGCTCCAACAGCCTCCTGCATCTTGTGTATCAGCATCCACATGTGACACTGGTCAGGCTGCAGCTGGAGTACTGCGTCCAGTTCTGGGTGCCACACTTCAGGAGGGATATGGACAGCATTGAGAGGGTCCAAAGGAGGGCCACTCACATGATCTGCGGACAGTAGGGCAGGCCCTACGAGGAGAGGCTATAGAACCTGGACCTGTTCAGCCTTTGCAAGAGAAGACTATGGGGGGACCTGGTGGCCATCTATAAACTTACTAGGGGGGACCTTGTTCTCCCCAGCACCTCCCAGAGTAACAAGGAATAACAGCCATAAGTTGCTATAGAGTAGGTTCAGACTAGATATTAAAAGGCACTACTTCACAGTCAGGGTGGCTAGAATCTGGAACCAACTTCCAAGAGAAGTGGTGCTGGCTCCTACCCTGGGGGTCTTTAAGAGGAGGCTGGACATTTACCTGGCTGGGGTCATTTGAGCCCAGTTTTCTCTCCTGCCCAGGGCAGGGGGTCGGACTAGAAGATCTACAAGGTCTCTTCCGACCCTACCTCTATGAATCTATGCTTCAAAATGGTGGTGGAGGTGCTTGAACTAAAAGCTCATGAACTTTAGTTCAAGCACCCCCACCACTATTTTGAAACATGGGGACACTGATACATGAGATGTGGCAGCACTTTAATTAGAGATGTTTTTGAAGCTGTTCTAATTAAAGCACCGTTCACCACCCCCAAACCCCTGAGCACGTATAAAAGTGCCCCTATGGTTCAAATCATGCTGCCATAGCCTGTACACAGAAGGAATCTTTCACACACAAATCTCCCTTTTCCTGTGTCCTGCCAGTAGAAGGAGGGTCATTTATTGCTTTAACAATATTTCTCCTTACTCCTCAGACCCTGCAGAATGAGAGAGAGGGTGGGGCCTTACTGTACTGAAATTCTTGACATTGCTATATTTTAGAAATAGATTCTTTCTTTAAGCCACAGTCTGCTAAGAAGAACAGCATACAGCCCTGTCAATCAGAGGGGAATTGGTCAGAAGCACAGTACCTGGTGCCAACACAATGCTTCCTTGTTGTTCAAGGGAGAAAGCAATTTTTTGCTTTCAAAGGAACAAATGTGGGGCAAGGTGGACACACTGGAGGGGAGGGACAGAATCCATCTAGATCTAGACAGGTTACAGAGGTGGGCAGATGAGAATAGGATGGAATTCAACACAGACAAGTGCAAGGTGCTGCATCTAGGGAGAAGGAACTTGCAACATACCTATAGGCTGTGGAACACCCTTCTCAACAACACAGGGGCAGAAAGGGATCTGGAGTCATTGTTGA